CAATCACTTCCAAAGAAGATATGTTGAAAATAGCCTCTGGAATTTGACCAATAAGATTATAATTCATCCCAAAGCTTAATTCCCTCAAATTCGATAACCTTCCTAATTCCGGAGGAATTTGCCCCACTATGCCATTGTTTCCACAATAAAGATTATGCAGAGTGGAAATATTTCCCAATGAAGTGGGAATAGTCCCTTTTATTGGATTATTGCCAATATAAATTTTCTCGAGTTTGGATAAACAACCAATATTTCTTGGTATGTCTCCAGTTATGTTGTTGATAGATATGGACAAAAAATTGAGCTCTGTGAGTTGGCATATGTTGGTAGGAATGCAACCAGAAATTTGGTTGTGATATATACTTAAAAGTTTGAGATTTGAGACACTATTTCCTTTATCAAGCAAGAGAGGACCGGAAAGGCTATTGGTTCCAAGAGATAGGGCAACAAGTGATGAAATATTAAACAATGTTGCGGGAATGAAACCTGTTAATTGATTATTGAACAAGTACAAAAATGCAAGCTGGCTCAGATTACCAATTTCCTTTGGAATGTTGCCGCCAACTTTATTCCCATACAAACTGAAGTTCAGCAACTTCGTGGCATTTCCAACAGAAGGAGGGATTATACCGGTGAGGCTATTATTCCTGAGATTTAAGACTCTGAGTGGGGTACATACCATGGCCCTCTCCACATCTCACCACTGAATTCATTCAAAGCCAATGAAATTACTTGAACTCTCTGGTGTTGAAATAGACTTGTTGGTATACTTCCGTTGAGCTGATTGTTTTTAACATCAATCACTCGCAAGCGAGGCATTTGGCCAAGTTCATAAGGGATGCCACTGCGGAAGCTATTGTTCTCGAGATTGAGAACACTGAGGAAGGACAAATTGGCCAAAGACGGGGAAATTGTGCCTTGAAGTTGCAAATTAGGAAGAGTCAAGGCTACAACCCTTTGCCTTTTTGGACTACAAGTGACACCAAACACAAGTGCAAAAAGAAGTATTTTTGGTCCAATTATTGGCCAAAAAATGAGTGGGAGTTGTAACAAGATTTTGGAAAGCTAGTAGAGCTTGTTGGTCAGTCTCATTAGAGGAAGAAAGTGATTTAGAAAATTGAATTAGAAAGAGAAGAATCAATAATAAGAAAATGTTCTTCTTCATGTTGTTACTATATATGCACTTGGAAACAGATTGCTTCAAAGCTTGGTTTGTTTTTCAAATGTATTACATTATTCCATTATTATATATAGGGATGGCAATGATATGCGGGGCGGGGTGAGTTTAAGGCTATGTGGATGGGATGGGCTTAAGGTTGTGCGGAGCGGGTGAGATGCGGGGCGGGTTGAATGGGGTTTTTTAAAATTAATGTGGGGCAGGACGGGTTGCGGGTATATGTGATTTCATGTGGGTTCAAACTTAATTTTAACTTCTTACGTGTTATAAGAGTGATAGAGCATTATTTATCAAAATTGTAGATTAATTAATGACATGGGAGGATTAACTATCATAATTTTATTAATTTATGTTGATTGATGCTAAATTCTCTAAACTTTGATCGGACAAGAAAAAAAGGGGGAAAATGCAAGGTACAAGTCGTTCTAAGTTTGTTGGTCAAATAATTAACGAGGAAATAAATATATTTTTTACTAGTTTGTTGGTCAGAAAATTAAGAAAAAAGCTAAAAATAATCAAGATAAAAGATAAATATTGATGTTTATTGATAAAATATGTCACCTCATTTTTATTATCCAAATTTAGTATTATACTATGTAGATCTTAGTGTAGACATGTAAACATTTATTGAGCTTGGTCCATATAAATTTGCATTAAATTTTAAATTATTTTGATTGGATAATTAGTTTTGACTTTACGAATTAAATTAGTGACTAATCTAATGCCAACTTGAAGGATTAATTAATTAAGGGCATGTGAGCTGGAGAAGACTTTTAAGAACTCATATTTATCTCTATTTGATTGTTCACGTTCAAAATCACCTTATCACGTTATAACAAATTAAAGATGTGTGGTAATTATTCAACGATAATAATATAATTGCTCTTATATTATATTTAGTAATAATAATATAACGCGGTTATTTATATTTTAGTATTAAAAGATTGTAAATTAGATGAGATAAGTATTGAAAACACTCTTAAACTCAGCGTGAATTATTAGTTTCATTCTCGAACTATTGACAGTCTTAAAAATACTCATTTTACATGACTAATTGAACTTAAATATATCCATAATCTTGGATAGTTTGGATGAGAGCCCCCAATTGGTTCCCCATGTAATTCACGTCTTCATTATATAATGCCTCAAACTTGACATCTTTCGGGCACTGCCCACTGCTTGCTCCAATCGCATTTATCATTTTGAAACAATCTATCATGACATGTTTGGATAAAAAATCGAGTTGATTAAAATTTGCTAATGTGAACTTCATTAAAACTTATTAATGTCAACTATACATAAGTATTACCAACTATATTATTTTAGTACTATCAAATTGTAGATCAATTAATAACATGAGAGGATTGGATCTCACTTTCATAACGATATAATATAATGTAGTCTATATATAAATATTATCAATTTTGGCAGGACTCGCTCCACTCAGTCACGAAAAAAATTTGCAAAACACAATTATATTTTATGAGGCATAATTTATTCATATGAATTTATGTTAATTGATGCTAAATTCTCTAAACTTCGATCGGACCTGAAAAAAAGGAAAAAAAATGCAAGGTACAAGTCGATACAAGTTTATTGGACAAATAATTAACGAGGAAATAAATATATTTTTGAATAGTTTGTTGGTCAGAAAATTAAGAAAAAGTTAAAAATAATCAACATAAAAGATAAATATTGACGTTTTTCGATAAAATATGTGACCTTAGTTTTTATTATCCAAATTTAGTATTATAGTATGTAGATGATCGTCTAGATATTAAATTTTAAATTATTTTGATAAGATAATTAGTTTTGACTTTACGAATTAAATTAGTGACTAATCTAATGCCAACTTGAAGGATTAATTAATTAAGGGCATGTGAGCTGGAGAAGACTTTTAAGAAATAATTTATCTCTATTTGGTTGAAAATCAGCTTATCACGTTATAATAAATAAAAGATTGTAATGACCCGGAAGGTTATTTTTGAAAATTTTAAATATTCGTTTAGTTAGAGTTACTTAATTGATAGTTAATGGGCTAAAGTGATAATTTATTTAAGACCCTATGCTAATTGACCCTTATTTATTAAAATAAGTAGTAGGGTTTATTAGTTTAGTACAAAATTAATTTAGAAAAGAAAAGAGAGAAGGGAGAACAGAAGCTTACCTGCAAACGGGGGCCAAATGCTTCAGGTAACTGCCACAAACCTGTGAATTTTGAATGTATTAGTAGATGTAACTTTTTTTTTGTAATTATTATTATTGAAAGGATTTGTGGAAGAGAAAGGAGAATTCGAGGGCAATAATCTAAAGTCTTAGTTCCATTCACGTGCCATTGCTGGTGATCCTTTCGATTGGGGGACAAGATGCTTTAGAGGTCGTTATGATATAATTATTGGACATTGATTATGGTGTAATAATAATACATATACACTGGAAGAATAGTGTCACAACCTATTTTCGTAGTGTGTCACTGGTTTCGCCACCAGCGAATTTCGATTTAAGTTCTCATTTAATTATTACATTTGTTTATGATATATTGAGATATGTAATTAAATATTGTGTGTATTATATTATATGAAAACTATTAGGTTGATGATATTTGGAGAAATTGGAAGAGTTGACATGTTATTGGCATCAAGATTAGGAACTTGATTATACATTTGAATTGAATTGATTTAGAAGTATATGGAAATATGTGATACTAGATCGAACAAATAGTCATTGCCTTTCAATGTATGCTCGACGAAGTAACACATGCATTTGACACAAGCACGTCTAGTTTCCATATATTCTTAAAATTACAAACGAAAGTAGTAAGCATTGATTGACTTGTCATTGAAAAACCATTCCCAAGCATCATTTCATATCATACCTGAATGGTCTTGTCTATCAAATTCTTCCTCTGTTGTGCATTTGAGACATGACATACTTCAATTCCTCCATCTCTCAGTTTCTTTACTGCTTCATCTACATTTTCCTGTAAAATGAAATAGACACTACCTAAAGTCAAATCTTCAATATGAAGAGACTAAACAATACACAAATACAGAAAAGTCCAAGAAAAACAGTGACACTGTTTCTATTTCTTTGACACAATTACTTGTAACTATAAAAAGTTTTGATCTGCTGAAATTCAAGTCGGTGTAATACTTTTTTGAGTTTAACCGTGAGGGCTTGGCTTAAAACGGACAATATAACACCATATTAAGAGTATCTTTGAGCTGATTTAGCCCAACAACTCTCCATTCACAGGGATCATGTGTATGTGTGTGAAATTTCTAAAAAAGTTCAAGCTCTTCAGTTCATCAAACCTATTTGTTACCATAAACAATTAGATGAAAGAGAAGACATGAACTTAACAAAATCTGCAAATACCCATTTGAAGAATCACCCAAATTTTGGCAAGAAACAAACCCTTTTAGCATATACCCTTGTACCTACCTTTAATAACAGTACATTAAGTTAGTTATAACTAACTCTTCTTGATAGACTAACTTGCCCTTTCTGTAACTAACTAACTATTAACACTAATGACACCTACTTTACATCACAACAAGAAGCGCCTTCAAATCCAAGTCTCTGAGCTATGCCAAATCCAATACCTTGTGTAGAAGCTGTTACAATCACCACTTTCCCTTCAAATCTTTTCCCAATTTTCTCCATTTTTATATGAGTTCTGTGATTAGAGAGAGAAATATGAGATTTAGTTCTTCTTCTTCTTGGATAGACGATGACGACGTTGTGAATTTAATAATCAAATCATTAAAATCATCGATGTCAACCATAATTAGGCGGAAAAATATGTCATGGCATAGCTCAAAGGGTCTTTAAAGGTCCATCCGCCAAAAAGTCAATTTGATTAATTTCTCAAAAATCGACTTAACACATATTAAAAAAAAATATTTAAAATTTTGAATTTTTATTTGGAGATGCCAAAATACTGAAAAAAGAGACGTCGATGATGAAAACACAATAATTATTGGTCTTTAGGCTTGTGATGCTCGATTTGGCCAAGTTTGAAGGGCAACGAAGAAGGATGAGTAATTTTCAGAAAACTAATGATAACACACAGGAAAACACTTTAAATCTTAAATTTCTATTTCGTGACACTAAGTACAGGTCATCTCACGTGTGAGACTTGGCCTAGCCTAGTTTGTGAGCCAACATAGTCAATTGACTGATTATTGGAAAAACCAATGAATTAACACATACAAAAAAATTTAAAATTCTTGAATTTTTATTTTGTGACACTGAAACTCTGCAAAAGAAAGACGCAACTAATGAATTTGCAATGAGTATTGGTTACCAGGGCCTATGGCCCCAGCTTGACCAAGTTTTGGGGGCCAAAAGAGTCGGTCAACTATTTTTTGGAAAACGAATGCACTAATATACATAAAAAATGCTAAAGTTTTGAATTCTTATTTCATAACACCGAAACACTAAAAAAAGAGATGTCATTAATGAAAATGCAACGAGTAGAGGTCACTAGGCATGGATAAGCTTAGGGACCAACGGAGTCAAGTGACTAATTATTTAAAAATCAATGGACTAACACATATGAAAAATGCTTAAAATCTTAAATTTCCATTTCATGACACCGCAACGGTGAAAAATAGACTCCATTAATGAAAATGCAATGACTACTAGTAACTAGGCCTTTGAGGGTCGATCTTACCAAGTTTGGGCCAGGTAGTCAGTCGACTAATATCTGAAAAATCAGTGGGCTAACCCATACAAAAATGATTAAAATCTTGAATTCGAATTTTATAACACCGAAACATTAAAAAAGATATGTCATTAACGAAAATGCAATGAATACTGGTCACTAATCCTGTGAGGCCCGACCTGTCCAAGTTTGGGGGCTAACAGAGTCGGTCAACTAATTTTCAAAAAATTAGTGGACCAACACAATTAAAACAAAGGAATAAAATCTTGAATTCCTATTTCATGGCATCGAAAAGCTGGAAAAAAGAGATGTCATTAATAAAATTGCAACAAGTACTGCTCATCAGGACTAAAAGACCTGACCTGGCCAAATTAAGGACCAACAAAGTCGATCGACTATTTTTCAAAATATCAGTGGATCACACACAAAAAAAAAGCACTTAAAATTTTGATTTCTTATTTCATGACACCAAAACGATGAAAAAGAAACATAATTAATGAAGATGCAATGAGTACTAGTTACCAGGACTGTGAGGCCCGGTCTGGACAAGTTTGGGGCTAGAAGAGTTGGTCGACTAATTTTTGAAAAATTTGTGGACTAACACACACGAAAAACTCTTAAAATCCTAAATTTCTACTGGTCAACAGGTTTGTGAGGCCCAGCCTAGCAAACTTTCAAAGCAATTGATGAAAATGTAATGAGTAATTATCATAAATCAGTCTTAAAATCTGGAATTCCAATCTCGTGACACTGAAATATTGTAAAAGGACGGGCCATTAATGAAAATGCAACAAGTATTGATCACTAGGCATGTGGGATCCGGCCTGGCCAAGTTTGGGGGCGAACGGAGTCAATCGGCTAATTATTGAAGAATCAATGGACTAACATGCACACAAAAAAATGCCTAAAATCCTGTTTTGTGATATCGAGTCCAAGTGATGTTCCTCTGTATAATGTCCTTTTTTAATAAGCTCATTTTCTGTTCAAAGAATACAGTAATTAGTACAAGAAAATGAAAAGTGCTCAGTTTATCAAAAGAAGTTTATTGAATACAAATAAAGAAGCTAATGAACAGAAAGTAAAATAGTGCAGCTAAACACCTTTATTAATTTCATTCTGGTTTCTTTCAAGCATTCAAAACATAATTACAAATAGATAAAGTAAAATAGGTTCAAATCACTCAAATGAAATTACAAACAATACATGACTCCAAGTAGTAAGTACTATACGACGACTTTACTAAAGAAACATCATATTAACTTGCAGCTCAGAAAAGAACACCATCCGAACAGATGCTGATCACTTCTATGTTTCCAGAAATGTGTTGTTGATTTTGTTAAGCCTCTTCACTACTTCTTTCATGCTTATTCTTGATCCTGGCATTTCCATTGTGCAATCTAAACCCAATTCTATCATGGACGCAATGCAGATTTCACTTTTTGAAGTGATCTGTTCTTCCTCGGAAAAAAGATTGGCATCCACAACGTCCATCATACTCCCTGAAAATGATTGTGTGATCCATTTCCTCAAGTCAAGATTTTCATTGCATATCTCTTCATCTGTTGGCCTTCTTCTTGTCAAAACCTCCATCAATATGATGCCGTAACTATAAACATCACCACTAGCAGACACTATTCCCTCCGACCCATATTCTTAGAAAAGGTTTGAAAAAAAATTATTCAATTGAAATACAACAATAATTTTGCATAAATAAAGACTTGCTCTTTTTACTTTTAGAATTTGGAGAGGCTTAATTATGATAAGAGAAAATCAAAGAGAGTAGATTTTTTATACCTGGTGCAATGTTCCAAGAGTGCCCAATATTGTCTCGGTATAAGCCATGGACTTGCTTATCGATAAAATTTTAGAGATTCCAAAATCACCAACATGAGCCACCATATCTTCATCCAAAAGAATGTTGGCTGGCTTTAGGTCACAATGAACTATTGGAGTGGCATGACCATGATGTAGATATTCAACTGCCATAGCTGCATCAAGCAGTACAGTGATTCTTTGATAAGCTCCTTAATGATGAAAGATTCCCAATAGAATGGGGAATAGTCCTTTTTATTGGATTGTCGCCAATCAAGAAAGTCTCGAGCTTGGATAAACAACCAATATTTCTGGGTATGTCTCCAGTTATATTGTTGAAAGATATGGACAAAACTTTGAGCTCTATGAGTTGGCATATGCTGGAAGGAATGCAACCAGAAATTTGGTTGTCAGATATACTTAAAAAGTACAGATTCGACACAATATTCCCTTCATCTAGCAAGAGAGGACCAGAAAGGCTATTGAATGACAGAGATACGCCAAGTAGCGACGAGATATTAAACAGTGTACTGGGAATGGAACCTGTTAATTGATTATCCAACAAGGACAAGTCTGCAAGTTGGCTCAGATTACCGATCTCCTTTGGAATGTTTCCGCTGACTCTATTCCCAGACAAAATGAAGTTCATCATTTTTGTGGCATTTCCAACAGAAGGAGGGATCATACCCGTGAGGCTATTGTTGGTGAGATCCAAAACTGAGTTCGGGTACATACCATGGCCCTTTCCACATTTTACCACTGAGTTCATTGAAAGCCAACGAAATTACTTGAACTCTCCGGTTTTGAAATAGACTTATTGGTATACTTCCGTTGAGTTGATTGTTTTTAACATCAATCACTCGCAAGCGAGGCATTTGGCCAAGTCCAAAAGGGATGCCACCACGGAAGCTGTTGTTCTGGAGATTGAGAACACTGAGGAAGGACAAATTGGCCAAAGACGGGGAAATTGTGCCTTGAAGTTGCAAATTAGGAAGAGCCAAGGCCACAACCCTTTGGCTTTTTGGAGTGCAAGTGACACCAAACCAAGAGCAAAAGAGGTATTTTTGGTCCAATTATTGGCCAAAAAATGAGTGGGACTTGTAACAAGATTTCGGAAAGCTAATAGAGCTTGTAGGTCAGTCTCATTTGAGGAAGTAAATGATACAGAAAGTTGAATTAGAAAGAGAAGAATCAAGAAGACAATGTTCTTCTTCATGATATTACTATGCACTTGGAAACAGATTAATACCTTTGTTTTTCAAATGTATTATGAAGTAATCTCACAAGTGTATGAAGTCTTACCCTTAACTTTTTCCAAGCCTAAATGCTTTTGATTATCTCATTCAAGTTTCTGTTTTTGTTTAAAAGGTAAGATAAAGAGTATCAGTTTGTGTTTGACTAATTGATTTGAGAAGATATTAAACATTCCCACAAACTTTTATTGCAATATCATCTCACATTGACCAACTTTATAAAGACAAAAACATATGGATCATATATATTGTATGGTCCAAAACCAAGTCAATGGAAGTCTCCACAGTCTAAGATAAGATTAGAAAATATCATGTCGTTTGACCTTTTGTTACTGAGACAGTACAAAGTTTATGTGTGAAATTTTACTAATATTAATGTTGGAATATATGCGTCCACTCAGCTACGATAGGATCAGGTCCTTAGCACGATTTACAATGACAAAAGCAGATAAATACTGAACGTAAATAAATATTGAAAGTACAGATTGTACACACAACTTTACGTGGAAACTTTCTTGCTCAAGGGAGTAAAACTACGACCTGTCTCACAGGGATTTTCAAACTGCTTTCATTAATCTTCACAAGCAAAGAGTAAAACACAATTTACAACTTGAGATTAACCTGCTAATCTCCACACTAAGTAATATCACCTATTACTTAACTGAGCCTAAGCAAATACAACACTGCCCACTATACTAATCCTGACTATTAATATAGACTGTTGACACTCAATTTTGACCTTCCACAATATAAATTAATCATTGAGCTTCTCCAATTTTCAAATAATTTAAAAAATTTAGTTTTATAAAAATTTCAAGAAAATAAAATAAATATAGTTTGCAAGTTATCTTAAATAGTTTCGTCATTTTTTTTTATAATTTTTAAATTATATATATATATATATATATATATATATATATTTTATATAATTAATGTATTTCATAAATATTCAAAAATCGTCTCGAAAAGATTTTATATTTTATTAGTGATGGTTATAATTTTGAATTAATGAGTTTCAGGAAATTCAAAATACTTCCAAGTTATTTTTAAAAGTAATTTTGTCATTTTAAATAATAAATATGTATATTTTTACAATCACATTATTATATAAATGTTTGAAAATCATCACAAAAGATTTTACATTTTAGTTAAATATTTTATTATTTTACTTTAAGTTATAGTTATATTTTTAAGTTATTAGCTTATAATTAAATTAATTATTTTAGTTCGTTAAAGATAAGAAACTCATTAATTAATTAAATTAATTTGTCCTATTTAAGTTTTAGTCGAATTTGCTAATTAAACTCAATTTGGCTAACTTCTCAACTTAAGTTGGTTGAGTCTGTAACCCTATGACCCTTTTATTAACTACAAATCCAACCCATTTGGAGACCAATTTTGGACATTTTGTTTACCTCTTTTCAGCAGCCCAATACCTCAATTCCCAGCCCACCAACTCAATACCAAACAAATCCATTCCACACAATACATACAGCATACCCAAACAACAATCCAACGTTCCATACAACAACAGCAATACCAAACTGACCCGACCCCCCTGCGCGTGCTTCTTCCTCACGCGAAAATCCCCAGCAAACTCGGAAGATCTCACCAAATCGCAGAGAACCCTGACAACGTCAACATCGGCAGTACTCGCCCATACGCCCATCCTTTTTCTTTTCTTTTTTTGAATTTGAAGTAAGAATCAGTCTTTTCCCTGATTTTCAGCAAGGATTTGAGGATATTGGTATGAATTTCAAATTCAAATTCTTCCTTTCCATCCGATTTTCCCCCAAAATGATTTTCTTTTCCACTATATAAACTATCGACCAGTCAGTGTTTGAGGGGTTTTTTTGAGATACTGATTTGGGTTGCCCGAAACAAGGGCATTTTTAGGCGGAATTCTCGACCAAAACAGAGAGGATTTTTCAGTTTCTTTTCCTCAAATTCGGGGCTGTTTTGCTCGCCGGGGATCATTAGAATCGATTCGGGTGGTGGAAGTTCTTCGCGGTCAAAGCTCGTCGTCCCAGTCGCTGCCCCAAAAAAGGTAATGCTTTCTCCTTTACAATATTCTCCTCGCCTCTTTTTCTGTTTCAAGAAAATAATATTTTTCGATATCGGAAAAGCCTTAGTATGTGGTTGTTTGTTGTTAGTTATCGTTGGTTTTGTTGATGTTGCAATGTGATATATTTGTTCTTATATGATTCCATTATTTGGTCGAGTCGAAGCTTGTAAGTTTGCATCTAGTGTTGATGTTTCTCGGTTACTCTTTTGAGTTATGTTCGTTCTTCCTCTTCTCGAAGCTACTGCTTGATGTCATTGGGATTTGGGTCTGTATCATCTCGTTTATACGATATTTAAGTGTCAGGTGTGCTGCGTTTGAGATTGTTACTGTTTAATGTTGTTATGCATATAGGCTTATGTTTTTTTTTTCTCAAAATCAATTGATATGTTAATGCTAATATATATGGTGTAGTTGGATGCCTGTTCCAATAGCTCGGTTTTATCTATTCCTTAAAAGTTTATGTGGTCTTTGTGACTCGTTTAAATCAAGTTTGTGTCTTCATGCTATTCAAATTTCAGTCGAAAATGGTTCATTTTCAAGTTTGAGTCGGTGTAAAATCTGAGTTTCTTGTTTTATTGATTTTCAAATCTTAGTTCTGTTGGAGTTTAATCTTTAAGATCATTTGAAATATGGCTTTTGTTTTCAAATCTCAGTTCATGTTTAGTTGCACTTTCCATTAATGCAAAGCCAAAATGTGATTTTATATGGATTTTCATATCCGATTGTGTTGCCATTAATTTTTACCTTTTCTTCTGCTAAGAATGAAAGTCTCGTTTCAAGTTGCATATTGTCAATATATGGTCAACTATTTGATTAATAGTGATAACAAGTGGTTTGTCTTGTTTCAGCGGTAACATGTCTTTCTTATGATATGTTCATTGTTTCTTACTTTGTAGGATTAATTACTTATTAATTTTGGATGAATTCAAGCATAGTGAGTTGTACAATGTTGACATTCATAGCTTTCTCACTTATGTAAACATGTGTATGACTCCTTAGTGTGATATACCTTGGCCCCTTTTTCCTAATTAATTAAGTTAAAGTAATCTCTTATTGTTTAAAGACAAGCCTTTAAGTTGAGTTTCTCGAATGTGTCTCGATTGTTTTACTATATAATTTGCTCGATATAAGTCTCTTTTGGTATTAGTTTATGTATGAGTCTGCTTGGTCCAATTATATAAGTCTTTGAGATGCATACTTATTCTCTAAGTCATTTGCTAGTGTCTAGACTTAAGTTAATTATGTATTTTTCTTGTTAAGTTACTAACTCTTGCTCTTTTGCCTTGAACCCCTTGTTGTCAAGTGAGTCCATTGGACTTTGCTTTCTCCCTTTCCACATATCGATTGGGCCGTAAAGTCCCAAATCCACTTTCTTGCTCTAGCCACCCCCTATTCCGAGTTAAAGACTAATGAACAGGTGTCGGGAAAGCCATACAAGGCGGGATATTGAATTCTCAAGTCCCAAAAGCCCAAAAAGGGGTTTGTATACAAGGTGTATACAGCCATATACATTCAGCATACATCGATATACGGGTAAAAAAATGGAAAATACGGGGCTGAGGCAAAATACAGATGTTCGGAAGCAAGAAATACATCGAAAGGGCCGATACATGCTGATATACACTAATATACATCAAGTGTATACAAAAACGGGTTTAGGATTAAACCCCAAAAATTTCAGCGAAATTGGCCCAAAAGGGGTTTGTATACAAGGTGTATACAAAAACGGGTTTAGGATTAATCTAGTTTGTTAAAATTCTAATTACTTGTCTCTAATTCAAATGTTTCAATTAAGGTCCCATTTTCATAAAAAAAAAAAAAATTGCTCTTTGTTTAACTATTTTGTCAAAGTTACTCAAATAGTGTAAATTATTATTATTTTTTATGTTAAATCATTTTCCCAAAGAATTAGTCAAAAATTATTTTAGAGAAGTCGTAGGATAACCGCATGTTAGCGGCTACTTTAAGTGCTAATACCTTCTTAGAGTAGAAATAAGAACTTCTTATCTATTTTCTCTAATTTTTTAAAGATTTAATCTGTTAGAGTCTTTTTTTTAAATTAAGTTTTTTTAATTTCTTTAAAAAATTAAGTGACGACTATTTTCTAAGTATTTTTCTCAAATTGTTTTATACTTAGAATATTTCAAAAGGTGATTTTTCTATAGATAGTAAAATTACGGCACTAACATAAACTTTTATGTAAGACACTAAGTTACTCACAACTAAGTTCTTACAATGATCCACACAAACTTGAAACGTTTTTATCACAAACGAAACGATTCCTACAATATAAGCACGATTACAAGCACTCAAGGTAATAACTGGTACATAAAGCAATAATACACTCTATCAGGTCCCTGTTGTTTTGAA